CATTGGCCTCTAAGAGGAATCCATCAAAGCTCTTTAAAATTGGAAGTCCTGGCCACTTGCTGACAATGAATTATCCATCTTGTGAGGACTAATACTGTCAGAGCTCTGGTCTGCATGGCAAGAGAGGAGCTACAAAAGGGCAGCAAGCTAAAATCTGAGTCATTCAGTTTGCACACAGGGTGAGGACTATTCAGTTGCCCTCTGCTCTAGGCACAGGAATGTCTTGGAAAGTGGAGTTCAGGTAACAAAAGGATTCTCTGAAGAAATTACGATCCTGGGATGCCCAAATGCCACTGGATAAAACCATTCTGTATATTCCAGAAGTTTGGAGAGCATTCTAGAAGCCTTCAGCATATGGTCACTCAGCATCTGCTGGACCCCAGCTGTCCAGATGGGCACCATAGCGCAAGGCTTACAGGAGGTAACACGTAGCCTTACGCCTGCACCGGTGGAACCCAGGGTAGCACCTGTGAGTGCCACTTTTGACAGAGAGGAGGGCAGGGTTGGGGATAATATTTGCTGCTGTGCAGAGAAATCAGAAAGGGTGCTGGGTTAGGCTAAATAAAAGAAAAGTGTGGAAAGCTGCAGCAGAGTATGATTTGAGAACAAGTATCAGGCTCTCTGGGTTCAGGTTCCAGCTCTGCCGCTTACTGGATATGTGACCTTGAGCACGTTTTCTAACTTTTTTTCCATCTGTAAAATGAGGATGCTATAATAACAGTAGCTGCCTCAGAGGGTCGCTGAAAGGGCTAAATGATACAATACAGGTAAAGAGTTTAATATAGCACTTGCCACATGTTAAATCTTAAATCAATGACATCGATAACCATTGTTAACTAGAATCATTTGGAAGGATTGCAGACCAGAGCACCAGGAGGAAAGGAACCCTTCATTAAATGCTTTACTTATCACAACTCATATCAGGTAGTGAGGCAAGTATCAAACACAGTCTCATCTGGCACTAAGACCGGCATGTTCTTCCTACCATGTTTTGCTGATACCCAGTGTCAGATTGAGATATGTAGAAAGCCTACCCACTAAATCAGTATCCCCACCACATATAAAAATAAAATGATTAAAAACCATAAAACAAGTGTAAGAAAGTCTACCAGCTATTTATTTTCTTAGATAACAACAATTTAAAAAAATGCATATGTCAAATTATTTCCCAACTATTTGTTCAGTGCTCCTGTTTTGGTGCTACAAGCACCTGTCTGATTGGATTATCCAGTTTCCAAATATGGAGCATTTATTAGGAGGCAGGGTCCTGTGACTTCCTGGCCTGCCCTCCCTAGTTTTAGAGGAGGCTGGTCCTGGTGTGGCCAGGAAATTGTGCAAGTTTTAGGAGGTGCTATATGAATGCATTAATAACAAATTATTATTGAGAGCACTGGTGGTATCAATATAAATAACAATGGCAGCTATTTGCTACACATATGTATCAGGCACTTTACAAACACTTTCTCTTTTAATTCCCACAATACCTCTATTTTACCAGTGAAGAAACTATTTCTGGAAAGTTAAGTTATATACCAAAGAATAGGCAGTTAGAGTAAGACTTGAGATTAGAACATCTCTGTGATTACTAAACTCCTCCACTGCACAGAGTTGTTCAGAGTCACCCAGAGAGTTAGTGATAGCACAGGGACTGGGCCAAGTAGGGTCAGAGGTCTTTCCATGACATCTCCCTCCTTCTCAAAGGGGCATCTACGAAGGCTCTCCTACAATCTGGGCTTAGTGGGAGTCCTTCAACCTCTCTTCCAAACAATCCACCTCAAATGCATTTCAAGTTTTATGAGGTCCATATTTAGAACTTGTAAGCAGTAGGGTAGCTATGAGGAGGTGGCAAATATGGCCTCAGGAAGTTACAAAGAAATAGAATTTTTTCTGTATTTAGGAATATCTTTAAAAGCTGTGGTCTAAAGAAATAATGCCCGCAAGACCAACCAGAAACCCCCCTTCCCTGCCACTACTCTGCGTGAATGTTATCATCAGTAGAGAGTGGTGGAGGGGAGAGTGTGGGCTCTGGAAGCAAATTCCAGGCCTTGAAACACAATTGTGCCCACTTGCTAGTTGCATGCAACCTTGGTCAAGTTCCTCAGCTGGTTATAGTAATCATATTTGTGTCCTATTTGTTGTGAGCAGTACATCAAACAATGTATGTAAAGTTATTTAATAAGGTATGCATAGAAAGCAATCAAAAGGGAAAATGATCATTTTGTCTACAGAATGTTATTTGCTTAATTTCACTGCCTTGTGTATTAAGCCAGCTGACATTTTACTGAATTTATTTAAAGTGTGATAATATGATACTTTTGGGTAAGGGTTGTGGTCAATTGAGAAAAATCCAACTAAACAGTATTAAACTAAGAGCATTTTACCCAAAATAACAAGTTCTCACCCCATGAAATAGGAAGGAGGAAAAACCTCTTCAGTGTTGGTACACTGATGAACTGGGTGGACTACTGTTTATCTGTCTATGTATTTACCCCTCCATGTGTCCTTTGCTTTTTCATTCAAAGAGCATGTAAGAACTTGAGATCATTATAGCTCTGAAACAGGAAGCGGTGTAAGGAGCAAAATGATGGCTGTCCCAGGGAAGCTGTGGCAATGTGGAACTTCTTGGTAAGGTACTCGGAGCCACTAGCCACCAGAGGTAATTCCACAGGGGCTCTGACAGCAAGCCATTTAACCGGAGGCCCAGAAAAACTTAGTCACCAAAATTTAGAGTGAATAACAAACACGAGGATTTTAATTTAAGGTGTGAAACAAGATCAAGAATAGGGTAAATTATAACTGTGGAAGAGTTATATATATATACAAGTATATTGAAGTATAACATATATACATAAAAATGTATACATCATAACTGCAGTTTGAAGACATCACAAATTTATCCCTCGTAACTACCACCTGCACCAAGAACTAGAATGTCACTGCTCCCCTGAAGTCCCCTCGTGCTCCCTCCTGATTGCCACCCTCTCACTCTTTCCACTATTGTGCCTTCTAGTGGCAGAGATTCAGTTGCCTGTTTCTGAACTTTGTGTACATGGAATTATACAGAATGTGCCGCTTTGTGTTTGGCTCTGTTGCTCAACATTGTGTTTCACATATGAAAATATACTGTCTCCTCAGTCAGCAAGAACTAGAAATTAAAATCACAAGATCGCATAATACCTGGTGCTGAGAAGGATGTGAGCTCTGCATCTCTCATACCCTTTGGGTGCAGAGTGAACTGGTAAGTCACTTTGGAAAACTGAATGGCAGTTTCTACTAAAAGCTGTTTATTGGCCTTTCTGGACATAGTTTTTTATGAAGTACTTATTTTGAAATATTAGAAAAGGAATTTAAAAAGACAGCAAAACAAAGCTGAAAGAGGGACATTTAAAAAGACAAAAGCTAAAACTAATTAAATAGGAAAATGAGAAAAACTAAAAATAAAACCCAAATCTGGTTCTTTCAGACTGTAAAACTAATAACACTTTGTAAACCTGCTTTAAGACAGAAAAAGAGAGACAGAGACAGATAAAATGCCCAAGATTAGGCATATGTAAGGAGGTAAAATAACATAAAGAGAAAACAGATGATAAAAGAATATTAGAGTGCAAGAGGCCAGTGAGTTCAGAAACAGAGTCACACATATTTGGATACTTCATTTATGGCAAAAATGGCACTTGATAAGAAGTGGGGGAAGAACAGCATTTTCAGTAAATGGTGCTGAGTCAACTGGAGAGCCACACGGAGCATGTGAATCTTGACTACTACCTTGCACCATTCACAAAATGAATTCTAGATGGTCCATAAATACAAATGTGAAAGGTAAAACAATAAAGATAACCTAGAAGAAAATCTGCATGATCTTGGGATAGGCAAGACTTCTTAACCAAGCAGGTTACAAAAAGCTCCAGGTATAAAGGAAGACTAATAAATTTCACTTTGTTAAAATTGAGAACTTATATGCTCATTGAAAGGCAATAAGAAAGTGAAAAAGCAAGCCACAGAATATAATATATTTTGCAATAAATGTAACCAAATTGCATCTCGAATATATTCCTACAAATCAAAAAGAAAAAGATAATCCAATGGAAAAATGGATGAAAGGCAAAATACATATTTTTGATAATAAGGAAATTTAGGAAGGGTGCTAATGTCTTTTCTAGGCATACAAATATACCATGAGTTTTCTCTGTTTAGGTCCTGTGGCCACTGTTTAGTGACAGCACACCCACCCTGGAGGAGAGTGACAGGGAAAAGGCAGCTGGTTCTATAGTGACAGCTTTGGTCACAGACTAAGTTAAATAAATTTGGTGTTCTTTGTCAGGCGGTCTAAGGGAAATAGAGCAAACAGCTTCCTCAGAGAAGACAGCTGCTAGCCTAACTCACTCAATGTCTTAATTAAAGTGGCATCCATAATAGATACTTCCAAGACAGGGTCCATACAGACGAGGTAAGACAACACTATTCCTGCAATGACATCAGTTAGCTGCATTCAGAAATCACCATCCATGCCACAGTGACATCTGTTTCCTACATGGGACAGCAGTCACAACCGTTTTTCTCTTTATCTAAGACCCCTGTGTACAGAGACTTGATATTCTTTAACACTTCAACTGAAGCTTAATTTCAAAGAAATTATCTATCCAGGTCAACTGTTGATAGGATGGTTCAGCCACCACAGTTTACTTATGACCCTAGAGTGACATTTTCAGCACTGACTGGTAGGTAGAATACTCTGACACTCTGGTAAAACCAGATCCCATTTGATTCTCTCAGCTACCTAGTAATACAAACATTATTTTCCCAGTCTATAAATGAGGAAACTGAGGCCCAGGGAGTTAAGTGACTGATGTGAAGAGAGCACAGACAGTAAGTAGAAGAATCAAAGCTGTACTCAGAGATTTTTCTGTCAAGCCTGTGCTCTTTCTGTTCTACCACATGGAGTGATTTGGGGCCAAATGGAGAGGGATGAATGGAACATGGCAACGCAAGAGATCACATACCTGAAATACCAAAACCGATGATCAGTGCAATTGCTCCAGCCAGAATAATGATGATGCTAATAATGCTATGGAGAGAGAAGAGAAACAGGAAATCACTTCTTCATTCCATCTGACATGCTGCTTTGTGACTTGGGTTCATATCCATCATTTGTAAGAGGTGTACAGAAAGCATCTTAACTTCTTCTTCAACATAAGCCCTCCTAGAAATAAGTACCTTAGAAAAAAAAGAATCTCAACAATTCCATTCCCATCCCTCTGGGGCGGTGGGATAGATTAAAGGAGTAACCTTTTTATCTGACTTTGTGTGTCCTCGTACTTTTCCTATTTCCGGATCAGGGAAGTTCTTATACAATGTCTGCTGGGGCAAAACTGAAGGCATCACCTGCAATGCCAGGTGCCATTGGAGGTGGATGGGTCCCATACTCCACTCCTCCTGAGCATTATTGCCTATGCCTCTTATAACATTAATCTACCTGTCTTGTTTCCTTCCATAGACTTTTAATTCCACTAAAGACAGTGATCATGTCTTCACTTTATATCCACTCATTCCTAGTCTATTGCACCTCTGTAGGTCCACAGTGGGAATTTATTTACTCTTATAAAGTAATACATGTTTATTATAGAAAGTTTAGAAAATACAAATAAGTAAAAATAGGATAATAATATCACCTGTAACTCCATCATACAGACAACCCTGTTAACTTCTTGATGTGTTATCCTGCCAGTTTTCAATGAACAGATTAACAAATAACATTTGAGAAATAAATAATTAAGGAACTATCACTTAAATTAAATGAGTGCTAGAATTACATGGCAGACATATTGTTCTAGGCATGATTTGTGGATTTCATTCATTCAGTAACCTTGTGAAGAAAACAAATTTATCATCTCCATTTTACAGATGCGGAAGTGACGTAGGGTGATGAAGCGTCTGCCTTAACTTCACATGGTTGGCAGCGGCAGAACTAGGATTAGAACCTGTCTCTGGAATTCACACTCGTTTACCTTCTGCACTGCATCCCAAGGGTAGGGGGCTCACAAATGGGGCCTGTGCCTCCTCTCTGCTCAGGAGAACGCATGTTCCTGAAGGGTATACCAGTTTTAGCTGTTGAGAGTGATTCAGACAGAACAGAAGGCCCAGGTCAGAGCCGGCATGTTGGGAAAACAGTTCCTGGGAAGCTTGCCCATTGCAGACTGCCTTTGTGCAAAAGTCATCAGGCAAGTGTCCTCAGCCACACTCTCTCACGGTTGGCAGTTCACACATTTCCCATACCCACACTGATGTTACTAATAGGCAAGACAAAGGGAAGGCTCAGGGGGACAGAGAATGATACTATAGAAAGAAAAGGGAAGCAACAGGCATTTTACTTTCTGCCCTGAAAAGGCTCATTGTACCCAGCTCTCCTTAGCTCCGGGCTGGGCCCGCCAGAGAGTAACAACAGACTTACAAGAAACACTTTGAGTAAACAAGTCCCCTGAAGGTCAAGCCCTCATGAGGTGCAGCCATAGGGGCAGGGATTAAATAAGCAAAATGATGCTTTTAGTAATAACACATCCACAGCTGATTAGAAGAGGAGACTACATCTGACCACTTCCCATCTCTTTATAACCTTGGTGCGGCCTCAGTTCCTGCTGGTACAAGTGTGTGAGAACAGCTAGATAAACTCAGCTCCAGGCACTATCTCTTTGCCTGCTGACCTAGGGAATAGATTTGCATTTATGAACCAGGGTTTCACTTACCTTTAGTAAGTTACTTCTTCTCTCTGAGACTCAGTTTCTTTATCTTCAAAATGAGAACAAGAGTAGTTCCTGCTTTACCAGCTACAAAGGTGTTATGGTTGAAGTGTGTGTCCCCAAAATTCATATTTTGAAGTCTTAAGCCCCACTAACTCAGAATGTGACTTTATTTGGAAAGAGGTTCACTGCAGATGTAATTAGTTAAGATGAGGTCCTCTCATCTTAAGGTGGGCCCCTAGTCCAATATGACTAGTGCCCTTACAGAAAGGGGAAATTTGGACACAGACATGCACACACACACAGGGAAAACACCACGTGAAGATGGAAGCCGAGATCATAAGCCAAGGGCACCAAAGATTGCCAGCAAACCACCGGGAGCTGGGGAGACCTGAGACACATTCTTCCTCACAGCCCTGAGAACCAGCCCTGCCCACACCTTCTTATTGTGCTTCCAGCCTCCAGAGCTGTGAAATAATACATTCCTGTTGTTTAAGCTGCCCAGTTTGTAGTACTTTGTTAACAGTAGCCGTAGCAAACTAATATAAAAGGGTTGTCTTAGGATCAAATTAGACAATGAATGTGGCATAATCCATAAAGGACTATTCATATATTACTTTTTACTATAAAAAAGTTTACCTGCAACTATTTGCTTTAAGCTTATTATGAAAAGCTATGACTTAGGACTGAAGAATAATCCAGCTGATAATAATAAAAATATAGTATTTTGATACATCAGCAATATCATGTACCAGGCTTGGTGCTAATGTTCAATATGCATTTTCTCATTTGAATTACCCAGTTCTGTTGAGTATCTCCTTTTTTTCTCTTCTGTCTCTTCACTTCTGTCCTCACCGTCTCTGGTCACCAACATTATTGCAACATTTTCCTAATAGTTATCCCTGTTTCTAGTCTGGAACTTTCCAACACACTCTTCTCTTCATACTGCCAGAGTCAGTGGTGACTTCAAAATTTTGATATAATTGTAGCTCAGGGGAAACAACCTAACTGAAAGTTGGACTGGGGTGATCATGGGGGCAGTTTAATGCTGTGATCACAAGCAGGCTTCTGGACCCAGCCTGCACAGGTTCAAGTCCCAGCCCCACCACTTACGAGTTGCCTGACTTCAGGTTTCCATTCCTTCTTGTGAAGATTAAATGAGTTAATGCATTTTTAAAAAATCACTTAGGAACAAAGGAACTTCAATACCTATTAGCTATTCTCATTCTTGCTTTTCTGCTGTGGTTATAGAACAAGCACATGTTTCAAACTGAGAATATGTTTCCTCGGTGGTGCTAATGGAAATTGTTGTAGGCTACCCCCTTGGTTCTGCTGCTGAGATGCTGGTAAGAATGATTACAAAACTGATCATAATAGTCCTCTGCTTAAAACTTTGAGTGCCTTCCCATTGCCCTCATGATGAAAATCCACTCTCTGATGTGGTCCACGTGGTCTTTCAAAGGGGGTCTTGCCTGCTTTCTCCAGCCTTGTGTCTCCCCACACTCCCTCAGATCCTGCACTCCGGCCACACTGAACCATTGTAGATCCCCCACTGCAGGCCTGCGTGCTATCTCCTGCCTGTGGGGGCCCGGCCTACGGCCGAGGCTGAGCCCCACTCTAGCTGGACAACACCCTAAAGATGGTGCCTGCTTCCTGCTCACCACCCTTTCCCCTCTTCCCTGTTGGGGATTGGCCCAGCAGACTTCCGTACCCGTGCACAGCTCGTGCTGCCCGCTTAGAGTGGCGCGTGACACCTATCCGCTTAAAGGTCACGCATGATACTGTCCCGGATTGGTTGGGTGACTGAATATAAGGGAGCCCGCCGGGAGGGAGAAGAGCTTCCCGACAACTGCTGTAACCGCCGCGAGAGATTAGACAATAAAGCCTAGAGAAGAATCAAGACCTTGGGCATGTTGCTTCGGTCCCTGAAGGGTCGCGACAAGTGGTGCCGAAACCCGGGAATCGCTAAACCTCGTCGCGACCTGATCCGCTGACCCTGGTGCCTGCTGATGAACGTCGCTGGACGCCGTTCGGTCGGCTGGCCAGACCGGGAGAGGGAACCGAGGAGGGTGAGTGGATCGGCGAGTAAACTGAAAGTATACGTGGCAGGGCAGACAGCAGGCAGTTGCGGTGGGTGTTTATGTGTAGTGTGTGTGTCCTGTTAGTGTTTGTGACATTGTTTATTATAATATATGGAATGAGGAGGCGCCAGTGAAGGTTCGCAGAGCGGCGACGAAATCAAAAGGTTCGCAGAGTGGCGACGAAATCAAAAGGTTCGCGGAATTAGCGACGTAGTCCATCTAAATCATAACTAGGATACTTGCCCCTTTAGAGAGAGGATGGGGACGGAGGCCTCTAGGGTTAGGGCTGAGGAACCTCTGAAAGCGCTCCTTAGAGCTAATGGAACCCCTTTGAAAACGAAGACTGCCAGGGCATTCCTGAACACTATAGAGAATCATGCCCCATGGTTCTTAGATGAAGGAAAAATCACCAGCCCTTTATGGGACAGGCTGGGGGATGACCTACGCCGGGCAGACAAGAGGGAGCCCCTTCCACCAGGGACAATCCCTATTTGGGGTCGAGTAAAAAATTGCCTGAAGGGACAGAAGCCAAGCTGCCGAGAGGCCATCCAAGAGGGGGAGGAAATATTAGAGGAAGTACGAGAAGAGCGTGCCTTCGCAAAGGCATCGGAAGGGGGATCTGAACAGGGACTGCCATCTGATGAGGATGAAGACGGGGAACTTTCGGGGGACGAGCTAGAGAACAGGTTTAATAGCAGAGTTAAACTAACCACAGAGACTCTTTACAGTGAGCAGTCTAATGCCATAATGAAAAAACAGGGGTACGCGGGCACTAGAGGACTAGGGAAGGATCTCCAAGGGAAAGAACAACCAATCCTTTTAGCAGGGAGACCGCCCAAAGGGCCCGGAGGACCAGGATTGGGTTTTTCTTCGGGGCCACTGAGGGAAAACAGCCTATAGAAATAACATGGCAGTCAAAAAGGCCCATGTGGGTACCTCAGTGGCCCCTCACCAAAGAAAAGAAGGAAGCAGCCCACACTTTAGTACAAGAACAGATAGCAGCTGGTCACCTCCAGCCCTCTACCTCGCCATGGAACACACCTATTTTTGTAATTAGGAAAAAGTATCAAAGACTGTTTCTTCTCCATCCCGCTTCACCCCAGAGACTGTCAAAGGTTTATTGCCACAGGGCATGGCTAATAGCCCCACCATGTGTATGTAAAGAAGGCCTTACAAACTGTCAGGAAACAGTTTCCCCTGATAATCATCTATCATTATATGGATGACATCCTTTTGTGTCATGAGAGCAGCAGGGAGCTAGAGACAACCCTCAGGGTCAGGGTATGGTGGAACGCACCCACCTCACCCTCAAGAATGCCTTATATAAACAAAAAGGGGGAATAGGAGAAGATTTTAGAACACTGGACAAAAATGGCCGCAGTGCAGC